TCTGCATAATACAATTTAAGGCAATTTTTAGTTTTTTCACGGTATTTTTTGGTATAGTTTGAATTGTTTAGAAAAGTATATGCCATGTTTATGGAAACAATAAGATGATTTTTACATAAAACGTATTTTTAAAACAGACTTTGTGAGTGAGAAGCACTTTCAGAATGTTAGAGTAAGGACTGCCAAACATCTGATCATCCATGAAAGCAATAAAGACAGTGGCAACAATTGTCAATTAAAAAATCAACTTAAAAAATGATTGATTTATGTTTTTAACTTGCAAGTAAAAAATTATATATATTATGTATATAACTATAATTATATAGCTATATATTTTATATAACTATATATTATATATAACCATATAATATATATTATATAGCTATATATATGTGGTATACAATATGCTTTCTTGACATATGTATACATTGTAGAACGGCAATACCAAGCTATTTTATAAATACATCCTTCACATACTTCTCATTTTTTGTGTATGGTAACAGCACTTAAAATCTACTGTCTTAGAAATTTTCAGATATACTCGATTTTGTTATGAACTGCGGTCACCATGATGTACAATAGATCTCTTGAAGTTATTCCCACTGTCTAAGTGAAATTTTGTACCCTTTGACCAACATCTCCCTAGTTCCACTACCCCAGCCTATGGTAACTACTACTTTACTCTGTGCCTTAGTTTGAGTTTTTGACACTCCATATATAAATGAGATGGTGCAGTATTTGTCTTTCTGTGCTTGGCCTATTTCACTTAGTATAATGTCCTCCCGTTTCATCCATGCTGTAGAAAATGTCAGGATTTCCTTCTTTTAAAAGGCTGAATTGCATTCCATTGTGTACATTTACCACATTTTCTTTATCCATTCATCTGTTGACACTCAGGTTGGTTCCATACCTTGATTATTTTGAATGCTGCTGCAATGAATATGGGAGTGCAGATATCTCTTTAAAATATTGATTTCCTGTCTTTTCAAAATAAATCCCATAGTGAGATTGCTGAATCATATAATAGTCCTATTTTTAATTCTTTGAGGAACCTCCATACTGCTTTCCAGAATGCCTGTGCTTATTTGCCTTCCAACCAACGGTGTACAAAGGTTCCCTTTTTTCTACACCCTCTCAAACATTTGTTATCTTTTGTTTTATTTGTAACAGCCATTCTAATACAAGTAAGATGAAATCGCATTATCTCATTATAATGTTAATTTTCATTTCCCTAGTTATTAGTGAGAAACATTTTTTTTTCACATACCTTTTGGCCATTGGTGTGCCTTTTTTAGAGAAATGTCTATGCAGATCTTTTGTCCACTTTTTTAAACTGGGTTATTTGTTTTCCTACTATTGAGTTGTCAAAATTAACTTTTTCAGAACTCTGCAAATTAACAAAAGACTTGAAACAACCTAAGGCGTGTTTATTCAAAACAAGTGGCTGAGTCTCAGTGAGCTTTATCATCTTTAAACTCATCTCATTCCCATCCTCCTCTGCCCAGCTCCTCAGTCACCTTGAAAGCCAAGCAGCCTCTCAATTATGGTGAAAACTAGCAACCTGGTGGCCACTGTCATGGACAGAGGGAAGTGGAGCTCCAAAAAATTTTATTATCAGAAAATTGTCATTATTTGACCTATCTGGCAGCTCCTTGGAAACACCCAACACACACACATGCACAGGGTCGTGTTTATTTGATTTTACTTAGAACTGACTGTTGCTCAGTGACAACAGCTATTTCTCCACTGTGTGTGTGTGTGTGTGTGTATATGTATGTGTGTGTGTATATATACACACATATATGCAATATAAGAGGCAATTATTTGACATGAGAGCTGCCTGAGTTGATGACAAAAATTGGATCAAACAAAAGCATGACTAACAACTTAAAAGGCGAGCCAGAGAATGAGATATTCACAGGAAACTTTGGAAAGCTCCAACATATTTCTGAAGATCTAGGAGGCCGGGCACACGCATAGGTTGTTTGCGTGCCTGGGAGAAGGCCCTAAGTCTCACCAGAATGACTTTAAAGTTCTTTGCAAGTCGGAAGTGAATTCTAAGGCAGGGTTCTAAACCACCAGGGTGTTGCAGTTTGCCCCAATATGTGCAAAAGGCTCTAAGCAAAACATGAGAGATTTATTGAGTCAAGCGAGACTTTTAACAAAATCTCTGTCCAGTAATTTGCTGTCCCCTAAGTTAACTGAGTAGAGGCTAGAGCGGCCACACATGAAAAAGAATACAGGCTTCACAGAATTGACTCAAAGGTCACTTTTTGAAAAAGCAACAATAACAAACCCTGGAGATAAGGAGGAAATCTGATTTCCTGGCTTGCCAAATTATATTATGTAAATGTCTATTTTTCAACAAAAATCATGAGACAGGCAAGAAACAGGAAATGCTGCTTTAAACACTAATATTGATATCAGGAGCAAGACAAGATTATCCACTCTCATCATTTCTATTCAACAAAAGACAATAAAATAAATACATGTTGGAAATGAGAATCAAAACTGTCTTTACTTGCAGATAGGTCCGTATATAAGACATGATCTTATATAGAAAATGTTACTGAGCACAAAACAACTTGTTAGAACTTAATAAATGAGTTCAGTAAGGTTGCAGGATAAAAGATCAATATACGAAAAAATTGTATTTCCATACACAAGCAATAAACAACCAAAAATGAATTTTTAAAAATAGTTACATTTACAATATATCTAAAAGGATGAAACAGTTGATAATACATTTCACAAGTACAAGACTTGTACAATGAAGACTACAAAATAGTGTTGAAATAAATAAGAACTAAATAACTGGAGACATTCTATATTTATGGATCATAAGAATAGTGTTAAGATGTCAATTATCCAGAATAAATCTACAGATTCAACACAATCCCTATCAAAATCTCAGCTGATTTTCTTGTACAGAGTAACATATCTATATAGGAAAAAAATATATGAAAATGCAATGGACCCAAAATAGCCAGAACAATCTTGAAAAAGAAGAATATATTTAGACAACCCACACAACCTGATTTTAAAAGTTAAAAAGCTGAAAAGCGACAGTAACCGAGAAAGTGTGGTACTTGTATAAGGCTGTATAAATATAGTCAAATATAATTTGGAAGCCAGAAATAAACTATTATATAATGGTCGATGGATTTTAAACAAGGATGTCAAGGAAATTAAATGGGGAAAAATAGTCTTTTTAAGAAATAGTGTTGAGACAAGTAGATATTTACTTAGAAATGAATGAAGCTGAACCCCCACCTTAAGTCATATGCAGAAATAACTCAAAATGGCTCATAGACATAAATGTCAATGCAAAAAAATTTTTTTTTGCAGTTTATCTTTATTCTTTTTTTTTTTATTATTATTATACTTTAAGTTCTAGGGTACATGTGCATAACGTGCAGGTTTGTTACATATGTATACTTGTGCCATGTTGCTGTGCTGCACCCATCAACTCGTCAGCACCCATCAACTCGTCATTTACATCAGGTGTAACTCCCAATGCAATCCCTCCCCACGCCCCCCTCCCCATGATAGGCCCCGGTGTGTGATGTTCCCCTTCCCGAGTCCAAGTGATCTCATTGTTCAGTTCTCTTCTCTAAAGTTCAATTTTAGAAAAAACAAAAACATAGCTGTAAATCGTTGTGACCTTGGATTGGGCAATAATTTCTTAATGAATGATAGATGCCAAATGCCCAAGTGACCCAAAAGAAGTAGATCAATTAGGCTTTATGAAAATGTTTTCTAAAACTGTGCTGCACAATCAGGAAAGTAAAAAACAACCTACAAAAGGAGAGGAAATATATGCAAATCATACACTTGGTAAGGAAAAAGTATCAAGAAAAAAACAGGTTGCATTTCTATCTAGATGGATACTCCCAGCTGATGAACTCTTTAGCCAAAAGATAATTGCAAGTAACCCAGTTAAGTAATGAGTAAAGAATTTGAACAGACAAGCTCTTCAAAGAAAATATACAAGTGATCAGTGATTACAAAAATACATTGTCAATATCATTTTATTAGTCATTAGGGAAATGCAAATCAAAATCACAGTGAGCTATCTCTTCACAATCACCACAGTGACTAAAATAAAAAAGATGACATTATATGACATGAAAGATGTGGAGAAATTGGAAGCCTCAAATATTCCTGTTGGAATTGTAAAACTGTGCAGCCATTTTAGAAAGCAGGTCAGTAATTTCTGAAAATGTCTAGAACAGGGTGTTATCATATGACCTACCAATTTCACTCCTAGACTTCCACCTAAGAGAATTGAAAGTATATGTTTATACAAACCCTGCACATGAATGTTCCTAACAGCATTATTCTTAACACTTAAAAATAGAAAAACCCAAATGTCTGTCAACTAATAAGTACTTAAATAAAATATGATCTATCCATACCATAGAATGTTATTTAGTAATAAAAAGGAATGAAGCACTGATGCACGCTGCAACATGAGCCAACATTGAAAATATTATGCTAAAGGACAGAAGCCACATATTGGACATTAAATGTATGATCCCATTTATATTAAATGACCAGAATAGGCAAGTCTCTAGATACAGAATGTAGATCACTGGTTTCCAGGAGATGGAGGAAGGGGTAAGTTAGGAGTGACTGCCAACGTATACAGGTTTCTTTCTGGAATGATGAGAATATTCTGAAATTTGATAGTGGTGATGGTTGTCCACTTCTGTGAATATACCAAAAACCATTGAATCATATATTTTAAAGGGGTGAAATTCAGGGTATGTGGTTGATATTTCAATACAACTGTTATTGAGGAAAAAAGATGGTGCGATGGGCACTCTCTGGATCAAGGAACAGAAGAGAGACACTGCAATCCTTGTTACAACAGAGTGACATGGAAACGGGTTGGTGATGGGAGTTTCCTTCAGAAGTTTTACCTCAAATCTGTCTGACATTAGGCAAGAATGATCCTTATCAGCTCAGAAATAGATTTTCAGTGATACACGTCTTACCTTTACCCTTTAGGTTTTTCTGGATGATAACATTTTACAGTAATCCACATGGTCCTCTTTTGCTGTCTGATCTCTCACATTCTCTCCTAAGTTATTGCTGGGGGGCCTGCAAAACACAAGCATTGAACGTGAAAGTTGTTCTTAAGCACAATCTTGATATTATACTTTTTTATCTGTAATTGCAAATTCAGCATAAATCTCTGTTTTATCACACTAATGATTATCATAATTTGCTCATTTTAAACCCGATTATTTTTCAATTAGAAACTCAAATGATTTTTCAAGTTCTCACATTCACCCTTAAATGGCAGAGGCACTCCACATAGACGATTTCAGTTACAATTTAAAGTATTGTGTAATGAGGATTTTTAAATGTTAATTAAAATATTGTGATAAGAGAACCAAACTTATTAATGATAAGATGATAAATATCCAATTATTTCTTGACAGAAATACCAGCTGCTTTTAGTATTTCACGAATGTGTGAAAGAAACAGAATAGAGGAGACCTTTTTAAGACTTTTTTAGAACTTTTGGTAATCTCCCTCTGTCCACCAAAAACTGACAGTTCATTCACAATCTGCTTGGTCCTGTTATTAGCAGGTTAAGCAGGGAAAGGACTTTGAGGCTGCAGGAACAATATATGTCAGGGGACTGAGCACAAGGATGAAAACAACTCCAGAGAATTCAGATTTATTCAGTATAATTGGGATCCAAGTTATATTTAAAAAGCACCATGTACCTTATTATTTATCTCATTTAACCTTTTAATAAAACCTGTAAGCTTGACATTATACATGCACATTATACATTATACATGGCTCAACCTGAGAGGTGGCTTGTACCAACTCACAAAGCCCTGAATGAGTAGAGCCGAGTCTCGAACTCATTCTCATCATTCCATGTCTTCTGTGCCATAAAGGAGAGTCTTTGTCTCTACCACGGCTTCCTCGCAATGTTATTGCTGTGAAGAAAAGGTCCTGAGCAGAGGGAGTTGTAAAATGAACAGAGGATTGAAAAACAAGGAACACCAGATTGGATGAAGGATCTGTGTCTCACTCTTTCCTCATAGCTTCGTGGCTGATGCTGCTTTCCTGGGCTCACAGATCCCATCCTTATGGGAACCTACTGAACTAAAGGCGTATTTCAGGTTGTGTTTCTGCATAGATGGACACCTCAGCAGGTGAACTCTTTGGCTAAAAGATAATTCAATGCAATGATTGATTACTACGCCATGACTGACTTGCTGTTTGATGAATGATCAGACTGTCTTGTCAACCAGAGTTGAAATAGATGTTCACACAGAGACAGCCCCAAACTTTCAAATTAAACCATCTCTTAGTAATAGTTTAGTATATGTCAAAATGTTTTAAACCAAAACTGAGGGACAGGAAAGAAGTATTTGTATGTAAGGATAAGACACCATTTATGTCACTGATCAGTCTTTCAAAGTAGAAATTAAAATATTCATGAGTACACTCTATGAGCCTTTCCTAAAGGCTGCATACCCAGCAGTGAATTAGTATTCTGTTAAATAAATAAAACATAAAAGGCCCAGTTCACCTGCACTATAGCCAGTTAGTAAAATTCAGAACATATGAGGGGGACAAAAAGAAGTAACAGACCAATACAAGTGAACAATTAAAGAAGTCGGGAAGTGTTAAGAATGGTGGACCAAGGTTCCACCATTTATGGCTTGTGAGACTTCAAACATGCTACTTAGCATCTCTAACTCAGTTTTCCTGTCTACAAAATGGGGATGATACACTCAATTGCTTATTTTTTTATTACTATAAATGTTATAATGTATACAAAGCATCTCACACAGCTTTTGATAAATATTAAATGCTCGATAAAAGCTAATAATTATTTAGCAATTGAGAAATTATTTGTAATTACAGCTAAAATGTTTGTGATCTCAAATAAGTCGCTCATCCTTGGTTAGAATCTGGTTAATAGAAATGTAAAAATCAATCTAGACAGAGCATCCTAAAGTCTTCTGGCCTCAATTGAAAGAATCCAAAAGTTTGTGTTATTGCATATGTCACTTTGCCCTCCTGATTATCCATACCCTCATCAGGGCTTTGAACACGTTTTCCCTTCTCACTTCTTTTGGTATACTAGATTAGTCAAACATCTGCCCTTGTGTGCCGACGAGAGTAACTCGAGCTAGGACACAAATTACCTTGACACCCTGTTCCAGAGGTTGGAAATGCTCTTTTCATATATCTGCTAATAGCTGTCCTCCCCAGTAGCGCCCATGTGACCTTTAAATATCACAGAAGCTAAGTGGCAGAGGAGAATAATAATGCCATTTTAATTGATTGGTAAATTATTGAGCAGCGTTAGCTAATACTCCGTAACAACCTCTTTCCTCTCCCTTTTCCACTCCAACTTACTGGAACAAATCATTATGCTCTCTGGAGGGTTCCTGCTTTTCTTACATGTGAATCTATGATCCATTTGACCCTGTCTGCTATGATGTAACATAGAGGTTAGCTGAAAGAATGTGTAGATAAATGTAATGCAAAATAACTGTGGAAATTTTAAGCTAAAAATGTCCTTGTAGACTACATTTCACTGCAGTTCTAACCAGTCGGAGCAAAATGGAATCATACTTTGAATTTTTTATTGCTATCTTTTAAACAATGAGTTGAAACTTTCTTTGATCAGGATTCTTTGGAGTTTTGGAATGTCTGATGCTGGGAATGATAACAAAACTTTGATACGGATCACAAGTGAGTGACTGTACAACCGTTGCCCCATTACATAGCAGTAGTAGTTTTGGAAACATTTGTTTATAGAAATTCAAACATCCATCCAGCCCCATCAATCTCTGCATTATCCTGTTTCTCCTCTGATGAGATCCTCCAAGGTAACATCTCTGCAAAATGCCCAAACCTTATAGTTCTGCCTTCCGTGAACACTCACATCCGTCACCCCCAATGACACATGCATGGAACAGCTTAGCATGCCCCCAAATCCTCTCCGATTCCTTTGCCCTGTGTAGTGTGTTATCTTCTCTTAAGATGCGATAATATATATTTTTTACTTCCTTCAAAATTTAATTCTACCTTCATGTCTTCTGAAAAAAATTCTTGCGCCCCTTACTTTGTGTTTGGTCTTCCATGACACTCTGGGCTTCCCTCCTCATGTAACCATGGAGCTGTGACACCCATTTTTGTGTTTCCCTCCCCCATTTGTCTGTAGACTCATTTTGGGGATGCGAAGGATGAAAAGCACACTCATCCCTGTAGCCTTAGTTCCTTGCTCAGAGCCTTTGGTGTGTTAAGCATTCAGAATCATTTGTGGAAAGACTAGATGAATGAGCAAGTGAATTAATGAACAAATGATCCTTTTTCAGACAGTCAGGCCGTTCATCTTCCTAGATTTTCTTTACTTACTGCTACCATTAGATAGTATTTTAGAATTAAAAACCCTTCAACATCATCTGAAGAGGAAAGAAACTGTGTTTCTTTACATCTGTCTGTCTAAAAGTCAAGCAAGAAAGTCCACGCAAAAAAGATGTGAGGAAAGCAGTGACCATGAGATAGCTTAGCCTGCAGAGTGTTAAAAATATATGTCCTCATAGACACACTTCCGGTGCTGATGTGTCTGTGTGACCTTCTTCCTGGCTTGATTATGAAATTAGCTCATTTAACAAATAATTCAACCCCTACATCTTATACAAGCTCAGCATTAAGATGTTGTTGGGATTTAGAGCACGCTGGGAGCAACACCCAGGAGATGAGGTCTTTGGTAGGTTCAGAGGGTGCGCACATGCTCAGAAGTGAATTAAAATGCAAAACAGCGGAGCAGCATCAATGCAATGGGGTCGAGATGGCAAAGCAGGAACAGAAGCAGAATAAAAAGTCTGGTAATGACTCGCTGGACAAATGAGTCCCTCTGAGGCTCACCTGAAAATGGGAATAATGATACCTAATTCACAGCAAGCTGATGAGGATTCTTTAATCTGTGTGGCAGAATTGAAAATATGTTTGAAATTATTAGTGCAAGCCATATGACAGTTATTGAATGCTTTCTATCTGTCTGATGACAAGATAATCAAGAACCACTTAACTTCCCAGTTCAGCTCAGGAACAGTTCTGCTATGTGACCACCATGTTTGGTCCAGTGTTTCTGACCTTGAGAAGTTGAAAGACTTGCAAGGCAGGTATTGTCAACAAGATCGTACTTCTTCCTACAAAATGGGCAGGAGATTTGTGGAGGACTTTCTCCAACTGGTCACTCACACTTAAGATATGGTGTTCTCTCCTTGAAAGCAGACTGACTGACTTGTCTTGAATCTTTGAGATTTCCCTCTGAGTGTTTATCTGTGGGTGTGAAGAGGATTCCAGAAACAGCTCAGAAGTCCAGTGCTGATCTCTAAGCTTCCAGAGATTTAAGGCTTATTCTTCACTACTGAGCCCCAAGGGATAAGAGATCTGGGCTCTGATAGCCCCCATGGGCCATGTGTAAAGTGTAGAAAATCTTTTCAACGTATCTGTAAGAAACACAAATGGAAGAGAGAGAAGTTCTGCCCTCTCATGGCCCAGTTACAAGGAAGCAATCAGAAGACCAAAATAAATAAATAAATTCATAAAAATAAAAATAGAGTAAAGGAATAAAAAGTATCTCATCTAGCACTTGATTCTCCTTTTCAGCCCGTATCCACCAGTGAGAACGATGACAGTCAACTCAGATAACCTGCAAGCTGCAGAGTCACCTGTCTGCTCTGCCTCTGTCAATTGCTTGCAGGCTGGCAATCTAGATGGCAGTTGGTTATGTCTCCATTCCATATTTACAGCATCGAATGGGGAGGGAGAGTTGTGCAGAGAGATTTGACATGGGCTTGAGCAGTTAACAAAACTTCCAGCTTTACAGAACCTAAACCCTGGATCCCTCTAACATCAGATGCAACAACTGACCCTGAATATTTGCTAAATGCCAGACACCAGTTCTGGCATTGGGATGCAGAGAGGCAGCACCATGGTTTGGTTAAAGGCTGAGACTCTGAAGCCAGTTTGCCTGGAAAGAGCCCTGTCTTGCCCATAGGCATGCTGTACGGGTTGGGCAACCCACTTCCACTCTGTGCCTCAAATTCCTC